GAGCTGTCCCCCCACCACAGCAGTGATGCTGGGGGTCTCCCCAACGTTCGCAATCCTAAGAGGTGCTGTGGGTCATGTGCCAGGTTAGTCAGGGGGTACTACACAGGCTGGGCGTCCCCGTACCTCTCCCTATAAGTTGTGCATAGGCCCCCCCACTCTGCAGGACCATCACGCCATGCTCCAGACCCCTCGCTGGAGCCTTACAGCCCCCCCAGCTCTTCCCATCCACCCCACAGTGATCCCAAGGAGGGATGCAGGGGATGCTCCAGCTCTCTGGTCCCCCAGATCTCTGACCCCCCCCAGAGCCTGGTGACGTGGAAGCTCCCGCTGTCCTCACCAGCAGGGCTGGCAGCCAGGCAGGTGTACAAGCCACCGTCAGCCACCTACATGAGACCAGGAGCGGGGAAAAAACTGATGCAAGAAAAGAAAATGCAGGTGGGGGGAAGAAAGAGGAACCCCTACCTTGGTGCTCTCGATGTGGAGGGTGCTCTCATTCCCCAGCGGGAGCCAGGGTCCCGCCAGCAGCTGTCCATCCTTCTCCCAGGTGACAGTGGGCACGGGGACACCCGTCACCACACACGTCAGCTCCAGCGGGGTGCCCACAGCGATGGACATCTCAGTGGGGTGGGACGCAGCCTCGACGCGGGGAGGCTCTACAAGGCACACGGTCAGGTGGGTGCCCTCACCCCCTTGTTTCTCCCCAAAAAAAAGGGCTAAACTGCCCTTCCCAAATCCCTGGGGACAGCCACGCACCCGTCACCAGGAGGTGGAAGGCTTTGCTGGCCTCCCCCACCTCGTTCGATGCCAGGCAGGAGTACACCCCCGCGTCGGCTGGTCCCACGGCCACCAGGCTCAGCCATGGGCTACCAGGCGCCCGGTCACTCTGCTGCCCCAGGGGCTCCCCGTCCTTCCACCAGGTCACCATCGGTGCAGGGGACCCAGTGGCTTCACAGGCGAAGGTGACATTGGAGCCCTTGGTCACCATCTGCTCCTCGCTGCTCTCAGGGCTCTCCAGGACGGGGGGCACTGGGGAGGAAGATTGCCTTTAGGGGGCTGTAGGAGCACAGTCAGGTCCCCAGCTACTCAGAAGGGGTTTGGTGGTTCCCTGGGGTCCTGGGGGCACCCAGAGGTGGCCCAGCCTCCCCGCAGGGTGCTCCGGCACCGCTCTCCAGCTGGTCACACCTTGCTCCATCCCCCTGAGCCCACCCCAGCAGCCAAGGGATAGCTCAGGACCCTGTTTGGAATCGGGGCTGCAAAGCACATGCAGCAAAAGTGGGTGCCCCCCACTCTGCTGTCCCCAAACCCTGGCTGCCCCGTACCCCGTATCTGCAGGACGAAGCTGCGATCGGCCACCCCTGCCCGGCTGGAGACAATGCAGGTGTAGAGCCCAGCATCGGAGACCTGTGCCGGGGAGATCCTACCCCATGGAACGGGGCATGGAGACAAGACATCAGCAACGGGGACAAGACATCAGCTCTGGGTCCCCCTCTGCCCCCCAAGGTCCTCATGCCAACACACAGCCACCCCCAGGGTGCAGCTGTGGCCAGCCCGGCACACAAACCTCCTGGGTACCAGACCCAAAGCCTGCGGCCGAGCATCCCTCCCGGGCCACTTCTTACCGGAGGAC